TAAGCTTTCCAAACCCTTGCACATCAGCATCTTAGGTTTATGTTGGCAATAAAGCAGATTTCTGTGGTTTTAGTTGCTCCTGAGTTTAGTCCATGCAGAATCCATGTGAGCCAAGGATTTACAGATACATCTGAGTACCATAAATTACTCACAGTTATCACTAGAGGATATATATGGGCCATGGTACTGACTCAGAAAATCATGAGCAAATGTTATAATGGTAGCTGATAATGAAAAATGTCACTAGTCTTGAAATACACACCCAGTAAAGTGGAGTGCCATGCTTTTCCTGGTGAGGAAGACCCAGATGAAGCCTGTGGGCTGCAAGCATGTGGCAGCTCCATCTTAACCAGTGCTACAATCTTTGTATTTGATAGGCCCATTCTTTGCATCACTCCTCACTCCAAACTTCAAGTGATGCAGTTCTTTTTTTCTATTTTTTATTTAAATTAGAAAAAATGCAGTTCTGTTTAAATTGACTTTCACATTTTAGTTAGTATCTTCACTGTGTAACTAAATGAATATATATATATATATACACACATATATATATATGTGTATATAACAATATTCAAAGCACATCTTAGGATTGAGTTTTAGGAGTGGGTTTTATTCTATTTTTTAACTTACAGCTCACATGTTCTATGAATTGTGCACTTAATGCAGTGTCAATTCCAAGGGATCTTCCAGGTGATTGTGAGTTATGTACTTATTAGTCATGTTAATAATAAAGTAATGTGTAAATTACTACTCCTTGAATTAGTAGATTTTTTCAGACCAAAGATTAAAATAGCCCATCTGTGGATGGAATCCTAGAACTGTGCCTACGGTCTACTGGAAACATTTTAGTTGCATCTAACAAATGCATTCAGTGGGTCAAGGAACCCTCAGGGATTGGACATTGTGTTGTTGGAAGTCACAAGCATATTCCTGCCATAGTACTGGATTAACCAGGAAGGTACAGGGAACACATACCCAAATTTAGAATTTACATTCAAGGGGCAGGACTTTCCCTTCATCAAGGGGGTAAATTTAGTCACGGCTGCTGTTCCCTTCCATGTGGAGGAATGGGTACTATCATGGTGCTTCTGACCTCTCTCCATAACCCATTTACTTTTCCTGTGACATCACCTATAAGCCACCTCTTCTGAGGTCAGCTTTGTTGGCTGTGTATTTGCCTGATCCTCTCTTCTTACTCTTCAGATGAATTGAACAAGGAAAATTAAAGGGACATGCTTTAGAATAGCCGAATATTTGGTACATTTGGAAAGAACGTTGAGGAATAAGACAAATGCCTAGAGTGGGTTAGTAAAATAAACACTTTTAAAGACGTTGAGGGGCTTGGGACTTTTTCATCTTTTGTACATGTGGTACAGATGTTTTGACCTTGGTGTGTTGTATAGGCCTTTCATTGGTTCATAAGGTTGCTTTTTATAATTTTATGGATTTTTTTAAAATTCTCTAGTTTGGGAAAGGCCTTAAACTTCAGATTTTCTGATAGTTCAACCCTGATGGAAGGGTACAGTTTCCCCTGTGGCTATTTATACATGGTGTTATTTTTAAATATGTGGAGGCTTTCTGTTTGCTCATTTTATGAACTGTGACAGTCTAAAGCAAAATTTCATGACCTGCAGCAAACACAGGAGTCTCAAGGAAACTGAAGGCCCATTTGGCTCAAACAATATGGTAGCTGAGGGACTCTGCAAACCTTGGACTCAGCCAAGGCACATGTGAGAATAACCTTACAATCTCCAACTATGTGAGGCCCAGAATAAGCCTGGACTATAGAAATGAATCAATTTTTTGTGAAGGCTTGGCCTCCGTGATGAGTTAAGCAATGCCTTACAGCACAGTACAAGTAATTCAGCATATGCTGGTGGGCCTCAGGGCCACACATTGAGTAAATGGTCACGCTAAGTCCAGAGAAGGCTGGTTTTTGCTCTG